GGGGGGTGGAAAATTCTAGTAGTAGTTTTTTTTTAAATAGCGAAGAAGGGCTTGCACATCTCCAAACGTTCATTACTACATGTAGCTCATGTAGTGAAAACAAGAAATACGGCAAATACTTGTCTTAGATAATAACACCCGTCAAAAAGTTTTGATCGTTCCATTTCTTTGTAAAATATTGTTTTCTACTAGTATCTATCATTGTAAACTTCAACAAGCAAACATGGTAGTCTTGTCCAAACCAGCCATTGAGCACTTGTCCAAAGCGAATAACTGCAAACCAACCTCATTCTTCAATGGTGTTCCATTGATTGACCTCTCAAAACCTGACTCTAAAAACCTCATTGTTAAGGCCTGTGAAGAATTTGGATTCTTCAAAGTCGTCAACCATAGCGTCCCTACGGAATTCATAACTAAACTTGAATCCGAAGCCATTAATTTCTTCTCCTCTCCCCTCTCTCAGAAAGAAAAAGCTGGACCACCCGACCCTTTTGGCTATGGGAATAAGCAGATTGGACCCAATGGTGATTTGGGTTGGGTCGAATACATTTTTGTGGCAACAGACTCTGAAATCAGTTACCACAAATTCTCATCTATATTCGGTGTAAACCCGGAAACAATACGGTAAAATATTAGTAGAAACAGAGACTATGATAGTTTACTGCTATATACATTTATCTCTGCATAAATCTTTCATTTTCATTGCAGCACTGCAGTAAATGATTATGCGTCAGCGGTGAAGAAAATGGCATGCGAGATTCTTGAAATGTTGGAAGAGGGATTAAAGATTCATCCGAGGAATGTTTTCAGTAAGCTTCTAATGGACGCAAAGAGTGACTCTGTTTTCAGGCTCAATCACTATCCCCCTTGTCCTGAGATTCAACAATTCAGTGACCATAATTTGATTGGATTTGGAGAGCATACTGACCCGCAAATCATATCTGTATTGAGATCCAACAACACTTGCGGACTTCAAATATCACTCAAAAATGGACACTGGATTTCTGTCCCACCTGATCCAAATTCTTTCTTCATTAATGTTGGTGATTCATTGCAGGTACACAACAGCACTAAGCAATGTTGTTGTGGTCTTTTGGTAGCTTCTTCTTTAGTACAATATAACTAACTGAAATGTATTTTGATGGCAGGTGATGACTAACGGGAGGTTTAAGAGTGTAAGGCACAGGGTATTGGCGAACAGTGTGAAATCAAGGCTATCAACGATATATTTTGGAGGACCGCCATTGAGGGGAAAGATAGCACCTTTGGCATCATTAATGGAAGGGGAAGAAAGCTTGTACAAAGAGTTTAAGTGGTTTGAGTACAAAAAATCTGCCTATAAAACTAGACTGGCCGATAATAGGTTGGTTCTATTTGAGAAAATTGCATCCAAATAATATTTTTTCTTATATAAGACCCGCCCTGTTGGTCTAAAGGTAGTTGATTGGATTTTCCATATATAGAAAACTTTCTACTATATTTTCTCTTTTATCTTTTGCTTTGTTTTATTCTCTCAAACTTCTGTAGTCTTGTGTTCATATGTAATAGAAGCTCAAAGTCATAATTATCAACAACCAGTACTCTTGAAACTACCAATAATGTGTGCCAAAGATGAAACGTATTTGTATGCTCCGCATTTGCTACGTTTGGCTATCCTAGGGACTATAAAAAACTGAATGTATCTAAGATTGAAATGAATTACACGTAATTTAGCTATGATAGCGAGGTTGATGCATAAAACATGCTTTAATTTTGAAAAAAGTACTATACAAAAAACGAGGGTCCATTATTCAAATGGTCAGTCAACAATTCGAAATTATTTACTAAAGTCATCTTTCTTTTGTTTGTAACAGTAAAGTCACTTAACTATTTTATAGCACTCAGGAGGTCACTCAATTAGATTTCTCAAAATTTTGATCGTCAAATGCCTATTTTACCCTCTAAATTATCAACCTTAATTTTATTTTATTTTTGATTTTTAATATTATAATTTTTTTCTCTTTTTAATTTGTATTATGGACTAACCTTAGAATAGATAAATTTTATAAGATTAAAAAAATAAAAAAAGTATTTAAGCATATTAATATTAGAATAATAAAATATTGAGCATAGTAGAAAGTTAATTAGAACTCAAAAATTTATTTGCACAATTGAGAAAGAAAGAAAATAAAATTTTTAAAATATATATTCCATACACGTACTATTGAAAATAATTATTTAAAATAACGGTATTTTTATAATATACATTATATATTCTTTATAATTATGTTCAATATATTATTATTCTGACATTATATATGCTAGAAAAATATTATTTCTTTTATTTTTAAATAAAATTTATTTGTTCTAAGGAAGTCCATATTGTTGATTAAAAGAGAAAAAAAATTATAATATTAAAAAAGTTTAAAAAAAAAACATAAACATTTGGATGGTAAAATAGGTATTTGACAATTAAAAGTTTGAGAAATTTGATTGAGTGACCTTCTAAGTGCTATAGGCATAGTTAAGTAACTTTTCTGTTACAATCGAAAGAAAGATGATTTTACAACCAAACGACCCTAAATGACCCTTTAAGTAATGGACTCCGGAAAACGATTCAAAGGCAAGCATGCATTTATGCAAGGAAGGGTGTACAACAAACACAAACCTCTATTTGAACTTCTTTTAGCATCTGAATAGACTAATTAACAGGAAATGCAATTCTGTATCTCCACTTGAAACAACCAGCCAAACTGAAAAAGAGGATAAGAGGTCTGCTCGTCTGAAATCCAATACACATTGATTTAAATCTAGGAAAATGAGAACTTCATTGGATTATATAAAGCCATGCAAAATTTGGAGCAAGTTCTAAATTCAAGACATATTGATTCAAATCGGAGTTTGTGGGTCAATAAAGAGTTGGATATGTTAAACGAGTCTAATTACATGGATTTTAGAAAAATAAAACGTTTCATCAAATAATATCTAGTTGAGCTTCTCAAATGATTTACTTCATTTGTTTCTACTCCAATGTCCATTTGAATGTTATCTAATCCTATCATGTCCTGTATGAATTGTTGAGATCATAAATAACAAGGTGTCATGCGAAAGTTAACAAAGTAAACTTTGGTGACGATAAATCACACAACACAAAAAATATAATAAAAGAGACATAATATTTTAATATGGTTTGGTCAACTGACCTACTATAAGAAAACTGATATCTAAAAATATATAAAACTATTGAGAGAAAATCTCCCCCAAAATAAAACCCTCGTAAAGACTATATTGTGGATTCTATATTATTTTTCTATGAATGAGAGATCTTCAATTTATAGAGCTCACAACCTTTTTCTCCAAGAAAGGGATCTATCAAATAAGGAAGAGATCTATATTTTCTTTTTAGGAAAAGTAAAATCAATAAGGGTAAACTCTTTTCCTTTCTTCAAGAAAAGGTAAAATCCAAATAAGGCAAGAAAAAAAGGACAATTCTTCCCTTTAGCCTGAATTTTCTTGACAAAGCTTGATTCTCATTCTTTACATAATCTTCATCATTGTTGCTTGTCGTGGTTAAAAGGATGTATGGGTTAGAAATTGGAGTCTCGTGAGTTGAAATTGAATATGGGTTAAAAAGTATTGGAGCCTTATGTCAAAATGAGCAGGGTTAAAAGTGGATTCCATGCATTAAAAGTGAGCATGGGTTAAAAGTATTGAAGCCCTGTGTTAAAAGTCATGAACAAGGTCAAAAGTGGTGAGCCCACGTATTAAATGTAAGCATGAGTTGAAACTTGGAGCTCATAAGCATGAGTTAAAAATGGTTTTTGTCTTTGTATATGCAACAACATGATTTTTAAAAAATATAGTTAAAAGTTTATCTTCACATATAATACTCTCGGCAATTTTTTTTATTTTGTTAAAATTTTCATTATCATCAAATTGGCTATAGTTTGATCTGAACCCGCCTTGAACCTGTCTTCGACCTTGCTCTGAACCATTGGCTATGATACCACTCGTTGGGTCGAAAATAATAAGGCATCATGCGGAAGCTAAAAAAGCAAACTTTGGTGACAATAAATTAGACGACACAAAAAATATAATAAAAGACACATAATATTTTAATATGGTTTGGTCAACTGACCTACATATGAAGAAACTATTATCTGTATCTATACTATATTAAAAGCACGAAAGCCCTATCGAAATGGTTGGGTCATCACTTGATTTTAAAAAGAATTATGTATTCCGAGGCCTTAAAATCTCTTTTAGCATCACCTCGATTTGCATGCGCAGTCCGGGCGCGTACCCGGAAAGCCTATATGCAAAAATCTGTGAAAAAAAAGATAAATTTTGACTACAAAATGAATTAATTTGATTTCGGTCAACGTTATGAGTAAATGGACCCGGACCCATGATTTGACGGTCCCGGAGGGTCTGTAGGAAAATATGGGACATGGGCGTATGCCCGTCATCGAATTCCGAGGTCTCAAGCCCGAAAAATGAATTTTTAAGGAAACTTATTTTCTGAAATTGTTTAAAGGATTTGGAAATGAATTTTGATTAGAACATATTGGTATCGGGCCCATATTTTGGTTCCGGTGCCCGGTACAGGTCTTATATGTGATTTAAGATAATTCTGTGAAGTTTGGTAAGAAACGGAATTCGTTTGACGTGATTCGGACCTTAAATGCAAAATTTGATGTTTAAGGAAGTTTTGGGAAAATGTCATTGATTTTGAGGTTTAATTCATAGTTGTTGATGTTATTTTAGTGATTTGAATGCACGATCAAGTCTGTATGATGTTTTTAGGGTTGTGTGCATATTTGGTTTGGAGCCCCGAGGGCTCGGGTGAGTTTTTGATAGGCCGCGGGGTGAAATTTTGGACTTAAGGAATTGCAGGCCTGCAGGCTTCGCATTTCCCAACCTCCCTTCGCAATTCCCAGTTCCCATTTCCCAACCTCCCTTCGCAATTCCCAGTTTGCATTTTCCAACTTCCCTTCACAATTTCTAAGCCAGCAGAGGTCGGAGATCGCAATTGCGAACCCCTGTTCACAATTCCCATACTTGAGACCTGCAACTTTTATACTTAGACGATTTTAAACCCATTTTTCATATCCTCTCAAAACATAAACACACTAGAGAGATTTTTCAAAGGCTTCTTCTTCTTTAAATCAATTGTAAGTTGTTTTTAAATAGTTTTCTTCAATCATTAACATCTTTTTAACATGATTTCAACTTAAAATCAATGATTTTCATGGGGGAAATTGGGTGTTTTGGGTAGAACCTAGGTTTTTCAAAAAAAGAGGATTTGGACCTCGATTTGAGGTCCGATTTCAAAATAAATTATATATTTGAGTTCATAGGTGAATGGGTAGTCGGGTTTTGGTTCGAACCTCGAGTTTTGACCACGTGGGCCCGGGGACGATTCTTGACTTTTGGGCAAAACTTTGAAAAATTCATTTTCATGCATTCAAATTGATTCATTTAGCGTTTATTGATGTAATTAAGTAACTTGTGACTAGATACAAACGAATTGGTGGTGGAATCAAAGTGTAAAGCTATAGTTGAATCGTGAATTGTGTTCGTGGCATCGAGGTAAGTGTTTGGTCTAACCTTAGCTTGAAGGATTAAGAGTTGAATCCTATTTGCTATATGGTAATTGTTGAGTACGACGTATAGGCATGGTGACGAGTATCTATACGTTGGTGTCTAGCATGCCCGTGAGTCTTTATATTATGATTATCATGAATTCGTTGTATCTTTCATGCCTTAGTGGTGGTTTCTATTTGTGGTATAAAGTTTGTGGAAGGAATTGTGACCTATGAACATTGAGGAGCGTTGGCTCAAGTTGTATAACGAGTTGTGAAAGTATAAGTGATAATTGAACCTCTAGAGCATTGGCTCAAGTTGTGAAGTGAATAGTGAAGTAAAAGTGAGAAAGAGAAGAGATCATTACGTTGTTACCCTTGCCGGGCTATTGGTGATTTATTTATTATCTCCTTTGCCGGGATGTTAATGTTATTGATGTTATTCCCTTGCCGAGATTTAAATTGTTGAATTGTTGCTCCCTTGCCGGGATTCTTATTGCAAATTTCATTTATTCCCTTGCCCTATTGTTTGCGATTGTTGTTTGGGTAAGGAAAAGAGTTAAAGCACGAAGGGTGATGTCGTGCACTGTTTGTTTTGTGAAGAAAGAGTGTAAAGCACGAAGGGTGATGCCATGTATCATTGTGAGGAATGAGTGTAAAGCACGAAGGGTGATGTTGTGCCGCACAATGTACCATTCCATGCCGATTTTATTGATTATATGGTGAGGAAAGAAAGTAAAAGCACGAAAGGTGATGACGTGCACATTTTTATTATATGATTGCTTTGTTGAGGACGAGAGTATAAGCACGAAGGGTGATGTCGTGTATTTATTGATTACTGATTCTTTGT